TATAAGCATAATCCTCAACACAACACATGCTCAGGAGCAGTTGTCACTGGTGACAGTGACTGACAGACTGAATCTCTCCCATTTAATTCAAATCACTCTCTACCATTTCTGAATTCATTTCTCCAACATGAAAGATGGAGATCATATTACCTCAGGAAACAAATGAGTGAATTCTGTACATCAGCCTGTGTCATGGTTTCTTCAGGAATTTTCCCCAGATTAGAGGTCCCACTTCCTGCCTAAGTAGTAGTGGTCATCATGTATCTTAAGGTATCCAAGGAAAATCTATAAGACAAACTATAGTCTCGAGTATGAACTTGTAGTTTAAATGTAAAATGTCCCCCACAGACTCATATGTTGAAAAGTTGGCCCCCAGCTTGGTCCCCACACGGTGGAGCTATTTTGGGTGGTGGTGGAAACTTTTGGGAGTGGCGCCTAGCCTGAGGAAGCAGATCCTTGGAGGTATGACTTTGAAGGGCATGTTCTGTCCCCTACCCTTTCCTATTTCTTTCTCTTTGCTCTACCACAAGTTCCCATCACAATGTGCTGCCTCACCATAGGTCCAAAAGCAATAGATCTAGGGAACCATGGACTAAAACCTCTGAAACTCTGAGCCAAAGTAAATCCCTCCCCTCCTTAATTTGTTTTTCTTAGGTATTTGCCACAGGAACAAAATCTAACTACCAAAGGTTTTAATTATAGCAAATTCTCACCAAATCTCATCTGTCAACATCACATGAATCACCTAGTATCCTACCTGTCAAAGAATAACCACATACTCAGGAAAAGGCCTTAGTTTGTTGTTGGGAGGTAAGAGAGATCGAATTTTATAGTTTGAAGGTGATGAAAATTCAGACACTGTAACCCTTGACCAGAAACAGCTTCTTCTGAACCACCTTAAAATCACCCCCTGGAGGAACAGGGCGAAGAACAGTCTTTGGTGGCACCCATCCATCTAAACATCTGTAAGGGTGCAATTGAGGCCTAGACATTTTCTTGGTAGGTAACAATAAGTAAGCTGACCTGCTCCCTTGAGACTTAGTTTCCTCATCAACAAAAACAGCAGCATTCAGATTTTAAAGCATGATCATAAAGATTAGAATAATTAGAATAGAAAGAATAATTATAATAACTAGATAAACAGAATAATTAAAAATCAAAACCTATAGTGTAAAAAAAATATATTATTTAGTGGCATGGTCTCCATCAGTTACTTTTCTCCTCATTGTGACAAAATACTTAACAGAAACAACTTAAGGAGGGAAGGAGGGGTTGGCTCACAGTCCCAGGTATACAGTTCATCATGGTTGGGAAGATGAAGAGGCTGGGGTGGCTCCTCTGTAATGACAAAACAAAATAGCAGCTCCACACCTTTTGACAGATCAGGAAGCAGAGAACCGGACAAGAAGTAGAGCCAAACTACAGACTTCAAATACCTAGCACTGATGACCTACATATTCCAGCTAGGTCCACACTCCAAACCTCCCAAACCAGCACCACTGGCTGAGAACCAGGCATAGGCATTCAGATATGAGAACCTATGGGGGACATTTCAAACTCCAACCATAAAACAGTCAGTACTCTATAAATGAAACAAAATTTTATACCATGACTCTATTTTGGTGTTTTTTGCATGACTTTGGTTGGGATATTTATTGGGGTGGGGGGACTTGATTTTCATTTGGAAGTTACAGACCATTCTCACTGCAATCCCATGGTGACTGTCATGTAGCATCGAATGTGAAACCATCCAGCATTCATGTGGCACTCTTCCAACACAGTATCACTCCCTGAGATCTCTCCCATGAGGCAGGGGCTTGGAATAATGGAGGCTGTGTGACTTGCCCCCCTATTGACAACCCCAGGGAGCAAGGAACTGGCCAAGGAGGTTCTGAGCTTCCACTGGATCCCCAAACAATGTCAAGATGAACCCAAGGAAGTCCAAGCAAGCACCCACTGATAGTTGACACGCCCACATGCCAGACCGGGAGCCATGCACTAGGGCCCAAGATAACTATTTCCTGGCTCAGTCCGAGGCCAGATCCAGAAAGCAGACCATCCCATGAGTGAGCCACAAACCTGTCAACAGGAGCTGGAAATGCTTCCCACGGGAACAGATCGCCCTTCTTGGACTGCAGGCACGGTTCCAGGAGAGCCGGGCACAGAGCGCAGCTGGAGGCCGGCCGGGCCAGCAACACATACCCAATTGTGTCGCGAACCAATAGAGAAACAGTATCTGCTCTGAAAGACTCAAAGCTGCCGTCCACCCCGCCCTCCAGGTGCCACCTCGGGCAGCCTTTCCAGGGGCCAGTCAGGACAACCAGGGACTGTTCAGGGACGGCTCTGTGGGGACATCAGGCCTTCCCACGGGTCTCCTGTCAGCTTTTGCAAGGAAAAAAATGTGTGAACAGAATCCAAGTAACATCATACTCTACAAAGCCTCGAAAGGGACTTCCATGGCGACTGTGTGAGTTTTGTTTTCTCTGGGTGAGGCTCTTCTCTCTCCCCATGGGCATCCCACATGTCCTGGTAATAGGCACACTCTGTCCCCTTCATTAAGATCAGAGACCCATGCACAATAGAGCTAAAGGGAGTTCAGCATTCATCTTAACCAGCAAACCTCAAACTTTGGACTCTTGTGGGAACCTGGACCTCACTTCCCCAGGCATGCTAAAACACAATTGTGTGCTACACCATCAACTTCTGATGCTCAGATTTTCTACAGGGAAGTTGCATTTCTAGTGAGTTCCAAGGTGAGGTTCATTATGGCACAGGGAGAGCCACTGACCCAGTGCATTATCACGGTGTAGAGACAAGGGAAGGAACTCTTGAGGCAACACTAGAGAAAGAAGGTTTCCAGATACCCAGGGAGGTCTGAACCCAGTCAACTCAGAGCCGGGAGACAGGAGAGGGATTTCAAGGGACTGGCTCCAGTGTAATTTCAAAAAGCTTTTTCCCAAATGTCTAAATGGAACCAGTGAAGTGTGCAATGGTGTGGGCCTGGCCACATAGTAGATGCTCCATACACCAGATTCGGGACTCACAAAATGCTTCACACAGGCTGGAAACTACTCCACAACCATTAGCAGAGCCTGTCCAACTAAAAGACAGGCCATGCTGCTTCCATGCAGCTCTTCCTGACTAACAATGTGAACCCAAGCATGGTCTAACCATTCAGTTTAGCAACGAACACATGGGGATTTTATTTAGTGATTCTGCCTTTCCCTACCTTGGATTTAACCTGTGCTTGGGTATAGTCACTAAACAGTAATTGCAAGTACTTAACTGGTCCTTAGTATGTGCCAAGAACTCTCCCAGGTGCTCACACATGTGAACTCCTTCAATCTGCACCACAGCTTACAGGTATCTTCTGCACTCTAAAGAGGAACTGAGAGGTGCAGCAATGTGTCAAGGGCCAGCTGACAAGCCCAGGCAACCTGGCCCCCAAGGCCCTGCCTCTCAACTACTCTCTGCCCTCCCCAAGGCTGCCCTCCAGGATTCTTAATACAGCATGCCACATGAAATCATAATCAATAATTTCCTGGCTGGTGTCCCTCCCACTACTCCTCCACCAGTCTATGAGCTTCTTAATGTCTGTGAGGTGTGTTCACTGTGTGCTCATGAGCTTAGCACATGCCTGGAATGGCAAGCTGTCAGCATATGTCAAATAAACAAATGCACGGAGAAAGATTTGCTGGGAACAACTTAAAAGTTTAAAAAGAATATAAGGAAGGAGGTCTACCATCGAGGATATACTCAGTCTAAGGAAATGCAAATGAGTACGCAAAATCACTTTAATCGCCAGGATAATCCAATGATGAACTATCACCCCCACTTTACAGATGAACAGACACAGGGGGCCAAGCAACACCCCAAAAGCTATTCACATCCTCGTATTCAACAATATTTTTTTTTAATGTGAAAGATTTTTAAATGAGAAAAACTACATTAGTGAGAATTCTTTCTGGAGAATTCTATCTGCTTTTCTAGACATCTTTGGACTATTTTCCTTCTCTGTAAGATGTAGAAAATTGGCAGAAGGGCGAATAATTCTTATTCAGGGAACTGAACTTTGGCTGTTGGAGAAACAATAGGTTATTGTCTTGTGGATGCCCCTGAGTTTTGCATTTATTTGCAAATTCTTTCTCAATTTCTGATTGCCTGTATCGGTACTCTGACTTCTGCATAGAATTTATTTTTATATCTTACTGGTTTCTTCATTAATTGGTGAGCTAAACAAAACTCCTTGACATGTATTAATTATACACTTCCACAAAGCCATATTTTAACTTTATCTTAATTTTAACAGCACTTAGGATTCAAACCCAAGTTTATTCTTTCTGATTAATTAATTAATTATACACACATTTCAATGCTGATCATACTTTCTCTATCATTCTTTGTCAAAGGCAAACTAACCTTGGTTTAAAAATAATAATAACCTTGAATACCGGCTATGTGTGTAGCACAGCATTACACCATGTGCTTGGCATACTTAAGGACCTGTGCTCAATTCCCAGTGCCAGTACCCACACATGCACACACACATAATGCATATACACATATGCACATACATTATACACACATGCACACACAAGACGCATACACATGCACACTTACAACATGCATGCACACACATACACACATGTACACACATAAACTCAAAAGCTACACACATTAAAAAGGTCTTTTTAAAAGCCTATTTTTCTGAGTGCTGGAGAGATGGCTCTACATTAAGAGCACTGACTGCTCTTTCAGAGGACCTAGGCCCAATTCCCAGCACCCATGGTGGCTAACAACGATCTTCAAAACTCCAGTTCCAGGATCCAACACCCTCTTATGGTCTCTGTGGGCATTGCACACATGAGCCATGAGTGCACTTACATACATGTGGGTAAGATACTCATACACATAACATAAAAATAAATAATTTTTTAAAAATTATACTTTTCTTTCTTTGAGACAGGCTGACTTCAAACTTCCTATGTAGCTGAGGATGATCTTGACCTTCTTATCCTCCTTTCTCCATTTCCCAAGTGCTGGGATTACAAGTGTGTGCCTCCATGTCTGTATTATATGATGTGCTGGGGCCTGAACCCAAGGCACTTGCTAAACAGGCACTCTACCAACCCAGCTGCATCCTCAGCCCTCAAAACTATAATTTTCAACATTGCCTAACAAGGACTATAAATCAGTAAGGTTTGGCCTGAGTGATATGGCAGGTCAGCCATCAATGACAACCCTGGCTTCCCAGGACAGCATGCATCCCAACTGTTCTTGTTCTAAATACTTTCTGTGCTTGCCTGCCTACACTTTGCCAGATCCAAAGGGCTTGAGTCCTACATTTTCATCTACTTTTCAGAGCAAACTGATCATAGTCAGGACTGAACAATGCAGGTTGGATTGAGCTGAGTATAACTGAACGAAGCCTGAGCTCAGTTTGGACATCTATCCAGGAACACCTGCCTTCCCACACGCCTTCCCACATGTGGAACCCAGGGACTGGTCTTTCAGAGGTGCCATGTGCAGAAACCTGAGCAATCTTAGGAGGTTTCCCCCATAAACAGCACAGAAGTTCCTTAGGTAACACACACACATACAAACAAACAAACACACACACAATGAGACCATAGGGGTTGATGGACAGCTCCTGGAGCCATGCACCCATCAGTGGAAATCCCAAATACACCACTTTTCTGAGATTCCACAGTATCATCTGGCCTGGTTAATTTTATGTGTCACTTTGGGTTGATTATGGGATTCAGATGTTCACTCAAACACCAATACAGAAGTTGCAGCAAAAGTAGTTTTCAATGTGATCAACCCTTGAATTGGTCAGTCTTGGTGGTGCATTCCTCTAATCCCAGCACTCAGGAAACAGAGATATGAGGATCACTGCAAGTTTTCCAGTGTGAGTGGGCCTCCTCCAATCAACTGAAAACCTTAAGAGAAAAACACTGAATAAGGAATTCTGTCACCAAACATCTTTCGACTTGACATCTTTGGACTTGAGCTGTGAAAGTTAGCCTCTAGGTGTCCAGCCTGCTAGACTGAGATGTAGACATCAATCTTACATCCTGTATCAACCAACTAAATGAGAGACCAGGCACCAACTGTACAAAATTGGGCTCACTGGGAAGCTATGGAGCAGCAGAAACGTCCTTTCTCAGACTCAGTAAAAACCTCTTTTGCTAGGCTACCACTCTGCAGGTTAATGAAGGGCCAGAGGCAACTATGGTGAGATACATGGAGTCTCCTTCTCTCCACTATGGATAGTGCCTTGATTTCCAGAAGTGTCAGCATCTTCTGCTAAATAAATAGGAAAATTCCCAACGTTACAGAAGCACTTTCTCTGGGTACAAATCCATAAACCACCTAAAATGTGGCAAAACTGGAAAAAAAGACAATTCATTGAAATTTCCCACAGTTTAGGGGCTTCTCTATTGGAAAGATTAGTGGAGAGAAAACTTTTGGGGATGAGTTGGAATATTTAACATTACCCACGAATTCCCTGGCCACTCATTTTGATCACCAGCTGTGAAACTCCTCTTTCACCTCCTACAATGATTTTATGCCTGTCTTCAAAGGCTCTGAAATGCAAAAGAACAGAATATTAATTCAATTAACTCCAAGGTAACATTGAATCCCATTCTGAACATTCACCCCGTTTTATTTCATGCTGTAAATAATTCTACCATATAGTCTAAAACAGCCCTACAAAGATATCATAGTGATCATAAGCATACACTGCTCCCAAACATGGACACTATTTTTTTCCACTTACTGATTTCCACATAGGAGCAAGTCCAAATAAACTGCAGTCTAGAATAATTCTCTTTTCCAGTGCCTTCTTGTGATCATTGTTAAGAGCGGCTCCTGATGGCAGTAGGTTTTAGGGAGATTTCTTCTGAAGCTGAAGCTGGGGCTCCTGCCCACTTTCTGTAGGAGGGATGCCATTCTTTCAGGGCCTGCAAAAGATCACAAATCCAGTGCCAAGTCTTATGGGTCCCACTTATGATCTCAGTACCACACCTTTAGTCATGAAAGAAATTTCAAGAAAAGTCACCCAGCAAAATAATGGTGGCAGGATCAATTCCTAGTGCAGTTCAGACCCCAGACAAACCCCATAACAGGTGTCCAGGGGATGGGGGCGAGGAAGGAAAATAAGTGGAAAATACATGGAAAGGTGAGTTAAGTCCTGATTTTAGCCTCTCTTCAATGCCAGCATGTCTGGCCATTTGTTGGATATGTTTCTGTAAACACAAGTTCAGCAGGAAGAACTGATCTCTCAGGTGGCTCCTGGAGACAGTGGTCAATCCATTGCTCCCCAGACACTGGCTGTTCTCCTGCAAGTTTGAGAAAATTGAAGTCCCTGTATTTTACAAGAAGTTCCTGACTGCCTTTATTAATAAATCTCTTCATTTCTGGCTCCTCTAGGTGTTCCTGGCACCCCAACACTCAACCAAAGTATTAGATCTGTCTCCACTCCCTCCTGTTGGCTAAGCATACCATATTGTTTTTAGCTTTCTGTTTCCTGATAACTCCATTTTTATTTTCCAAGGGACTTGTCCTTGTAAAACCACCCCTTCCTCAGCCCACAAATGTTTTTAGCTTTCTGTAGATAAAATCCACCATCATGCCGCTGTGGTTAAACCCACAGTCTGGGTCTTTCAGATTCTTAATGACAACCAGGGTTTATGATACAAGTACAACCAAGCCCAATGGACCTGACCCCATGGAAGTATAGACTCAGATGAAGAGTCAGTTGATCTGAGATGGAACTTAGGGACCCATAATTTTTTAAATCTATCTTCTCTCAAATGTACAGCCAAGGTTGAAAATCCATGCTGAGAGGATTCTCAGTCTGTCTTTCCTGGAAGCATCAACCATGGCTGACAAACTAATGGAGACACACAAGCTATTGTGTCCCCTACAGGTCCCACAGAGAAGGGTCTGGGAAAGATGTGTACCCTCCAAAGAATCTTCTTCCCTTCAGGGAAAATTCACCAAGTATAACTCCTAAAGATCCTCAGCCATATTGTGGCAGAATTTATTACTGTTCCTCCCCCATTCCTATGGCATACATAGAAGCATAAAGAACCAACAGCCTTATGCTGGGGAAGTGACTCAGTCTGTAAAGTGCTAGTTTTATAGTCATGAAGATCTGAACTCAATCCCCAGAACCCACATTAAAACAAAAAACAGGTGACTGTTCCTCAAGACAGCTTCAGAATTATTCTAGTTTGCTTTGTTGTTGCATGATAAATACCATGACCAAAAGCAGTCTGTAGATGAAAAGGTTTATCTCACCTTCTATATTTTTTTTCCTCACTTTCTATATTATACTCCATCACTGAAGGAGGACAAGGCAAGAACCTGGAACACAGACCACAGAGCAGTGCTGTTTACTGGCTTGCTCCCAGTTCACATTCACCTACCTTTCTTATACAGCCCAGGGCTTCTTGCCTAGGGATGGTTCCACCTACAGTGGGCTGGGCCCTCCTACATTAGCAATCAAGAAAATGCCCCACAGACATGCCCACAGGGCATGATGGAGGCAATTCTTCAACCGAGGTTCCCTCTTCCTGAGTGTGCCAAATGAAAACCAAGACTAGTCATCACCCTGTCCAAGGTCACACAGTCTCTTCTCTCCCACTCAAGGACAATACTCCTCCAGTTACTTAATCACGTGTCCCTCAAATTTCCACTCTACTCCATCACTCTCATGTCCATACAGATATGATAGGCTGTGTGTGTCCCATCAGTGTGAAACCTGCTTCAGCAACCTCCCTCCTTCCCACCACCAGTTCTCTGTTTCCTACTGTTCTTGTTATGGTTGTTAATGCTCTTGCTGCTGTTTTTGTGATGATGATAATGATGATGATGATGATGACGACCACGTTTGAAACAGGGTCTCATTCTGTAGCCAGGCTGACCCAGAGTTCACTATGTAGATCAGGCTGGCATTGAACTTGTGGTAATCCCCCTAAGTCTGCCTCTGGAGTGCTGAGAGAGTGTGTGTCACCCTGCTCAACTCTCTGCTTCCTTTATGGAAAAATTCCTTACAGGAAATACTAGCCTATGCTCGCCCCCCACACACACATTCTTTTGCACACACTACATGCAAACTTTCACCCTCAACTCAAATACCACCACTCAACCAAGCAATGTCTCTAATAGTCTCCAAGGGATAGCGAGACAGAGGGCCAACATCTCTTCTTGATGGCCAGTGCCCATCTCACTTGGCCAAGGGAGGAAATGGCTGATCATGGTGGGTCTTCATTCATCTGCTTCACTCCCCTCTGGGCCTCCTGCTCTTCCAGGCCCTCCCCAGTACCCCCTTCCAGTGTCTCTGCAACCCTAAAAGTGGAGGCCCCTGGAGCCTGACCTTGGGCCCCTGATGTTAGTTAACCCCACCTCTCAGGGCTCACCTAACCTCATGACATTAATTACCATCTGTATACTAATGGTTGTCACATATATGACTACAGTCCTGACTTCTCCCCTGAAGTTCAGGTCTGTTTACCCCACTGTCCCCTCAGCATTTCTTCTTGGCATCCAATATGTCTCTCAATTTAACATGTTCAAAAGAACTCTTGACACTCCTCCCTTCCCCAAATCCTGTTTCTCTTGGTTGTCTACAAGGCCTTGATCAACCAGGCCCCTATTCCCTCGCTCACCTTAAGCTCTGGCCACGTGCCCTCCCCTCTTCCCCCAGCTCTTCTGTCACCATAGCAGACAAGCTGACCCAATGTTCTATGGGAAGTGGGACTCTTCTATCACCCCAACTGCCCTACTTCCTTGTGATTCACAGCCTTTATAACCACAGGACATGTTTTTGTTGATGTCCTGACACTGAGTATAGCATTTTGAGGACAGGGGTTCAATTTGGTTTGCTGACTGCCCTGTTCACTAATTCCCAGTACCCAGAACTACCTGCTAGCATGCAGAGTTCCTGAAAATACTCATAAAAGAGGTGAACAAAAGTCATAGAATGACCGTACACCTCAAAGTAAGTCTGTCAGATGTATGGCAGGTGTTTTAATGCCATTCTGTATCTCTAGGTCACACACACACACACTGCCTTGCCAATGCCTGTTGATGACAGAGTGGATTTAGATGACTGAGTCTATTCAAGGGGAAGAGTTAGTTCCTCATCTCTTGTACCTCTCTTTAGAAGCCTACTTCTGCCCTCTCTCATTGCTGACTTGGGTTCATCCTAGCTTTTTCTTTTTATTAGTTAATAACAACATAATTAGAAGACGCATTTCATTACAAAAGCATTGACATATTCAATAACAATTTCCAGAGCTAAGATGCATCTCTTTTAAAACTGGCTGTAAATTTTTAGGTTTACAGTTGAATTAATACAGTTATACAATATTGTACTCAGTATAAACCCTATAAGACATAAAATTAAATGAGGTTTTAACCTTCAAAAAAGATCTCCATTTCATTATTACAATACATAGTTTCATACAGAAAAATTTATTTTTAAATGCAATTGACACTAAGATGTTTGCACATGCATTTCTAATCTCTATATATTGTGATTATTGCTAGTCACAGTTGGTTACTTTCTGAGCTCCTTGGCATCTGAACATGGATATAGTCATCACATCCTAGCTTTTAAGAAGCCTACTTCTGTCCCTCTCATTACTGACTTGGGTTCATCCTAGCTGCCGGCTCTAAGTTCAGGGGAACAGAGGTACCAGAGAGTACTCAGGGCAAGCATCACCTGACCAAAATCTGTGCAGTGCTTCATATAACCACGGAGAAACACAGGCTTGTACCAAATGCCTCAGTAGGGCTGGCAGCCCACTCAGAAAACAGAGCTAACACTTGAGGGGGGCTGTAGCAGGAGGCCTCCAAAGATGGCATGGACTCAGAGCCCTGGGATTCAACGAGAATTCGCTTCACTTCTTAGTCCGCAAATATCCCGCCAAAAGGAGCCCACGCCTCCGTACCCTGCTGGCGAGCCCAGTGACTGCTGACAGACTGCATGGCACAGACAAATCAGAAAACGATACGCTGACTAAAGGGACTTGGGGGCGGAGAAAAGGGAAATATAAGGCCTACCCCCTCCTGCATTAAACAAGCCTGCAGCACCTCGCCTAGTGCTTGCTTCTACCCGACTTCCAGAGTCTGTGTGTTGTGACTCCGTGCCTCTTGCCCCCCCACAATCAGCAGGGGACCCGATCCAGGTTAGGGTCTTCACAGCTGGCCTGAGGAGAACCCGCAACACCTGGCGCCCAAACAGGGACTCCTGCCCATGGTGTTGCAACACTCAGAACCTCGGTTCGTTTGGTAAGTAGGCCCCTGATTTTTTCTGTTTCTTCGGCTGCTCCTTGAGGGTAAGCGAGTAGCCCCCTCCTCTGTCCCCTCCACCCTGTCTGTCATCTTTATTGTTGGACTAGTTTGTTAGATCAGGGAGGCACATTCCGCCATGTGGTCCTGAAGCCCACTTCAGCACCTCCCCTCTCTCGGCTCTTCCTGGTGAGTTCACATAAGGGCTGATCCACCCTGAACTCAAAGCCCAGGCTTCGGGTCACCCTGTTGCCTGTCCCAGAGACACTGTGTGAGCATACAGCTGGAGGTGTCACAGCCTCCAGAAGTCCCTCACTGAGCACAAGACATTTGGATCCGATATGCCTTTACATGTTGGGGCGGTTTACATCCTAGTGGCTCACAGTGCTTCTTTGTTTCCTTTGTGCCCTCTTTGTAGTCACCCTCGTCTTCTACTTTTGTGGTGAATTCCCCTTCGTGAGACCCTCCCACAATGGGCAATTTACCACCACAATGCAGGGAACCACAAACGGCAGCACTCAAGGTGCTCCTTGAAACAAGAGGGTTGAAAGTAAAACCAAAAGATATCAAACACTTTTGGGACAAAGCCACTAATTTGGCTCCGTTGGTCTCCCCTGAAAACATGTGGGACCCTAACACGTGAATGCGGG